TCAGTTAACAAATCCACTTATCACAGTGTAATAGCAAAGACATTTAGGGATATTCTAACCTCAATATTATGTAGGAACAAATGTATATTAGACAAATGATGGAAAGAAATGTCTCTGGCATGTTCATACTGTACCATTAAGGTCTCGCTTGAAAATCAAGAGGATGACACTGTGAAAAGTCGACTATCAATCTTGATGCTTATTCTAAAAGATAACTTTGCCAACACCATAATTTTCACAAACACAAAAGAAGGGGACACAAAACCAGAAAACTTCAAGGAAAAGTTACCTAACAGCCCTATATACAATGCTTCTGGAGGAACAGTTATGATGATCTCTATTAATCTCAGAGAAAGCTGTTTTTGCTCTGAGCAGTCTGACTAGGCAGAAGGCCACAGCTGCTATATAGTCTACAAACAAAAAAATTACACAACCCAGGAAAAGAAGAAACCTGAATAACATACCCAGGTACAGGAAGACAATTATCACATGTACTCACTCATAGGTGGTTTTCAAACATAAAGCAAAGAAATCCAGCCTACAAACCACAAATTCAGAGAACTTAGCCAACAATATGGATGCGAAGAGTGCCTTACATAGATCTAATCTAAATGGGAATTAGAAAGTAGAAAAAGACAAGATCTCCTGAGTAAATTAGGAGCATGAGGATCTTAGAGGACGACTGAAGGGGGGAGGGGAGAGACAGGAAGAGGAGCAGAGAAAAATGTAGAGCTCAATAAATATCAATCAAAAATATGCAAGCACATGCCATTAATTCAATTCACTGAGAAAAACTTGGGGGCTGGAGAGATGGCTCAGTGGTTAAGAGCATTGCCTGCTCTTCCAAAGGTCCTGAGTTCAATTCCCAGCAACCACATGGTGGCTCACAACCATCTGTAAAGAGGTCTGGCACCCTCTTCTGGCCTTCAGGCATACAGACAGAATATTGTATACATAATAAATAAATAAATATTAAAAAAAAAGAAAAACTGAACATTTGACAGTGGGTCACAGAAATTACTTGGTACAAGTGAGAAGTGTTAAGTCTGGACCTTAGCCTCCAGCCCCTGGCATCCATCCCAGCCCCTCTGGTCTGGGAATTGCATTATCCTGGACTCTAAATCCCAGCATTCCAGGTCCTGACCTGTCCCTGTGGAGAGGTCGGGACCACTCCCACAGTGCCTTTAGGTGGGTTCCTAGAGGAGAAACACATTGTTCTGGGTTTGCATGGGCTCCCCGTTGTCCTGTCTCCCCCACATGTGCTCAGCCACCGGAGAGCACTGTATTTAATAAAATAATGGGCATTTTGATTTTGTTTCATTTCACTTAATTGGACTTCTTTGTGCTGGCAGAGCTGCGCCTTCTTGGGTTTTTTTCTTAACAAGAAAGAAACAGAGAACACACAGCGAACACTCTTCGGAGTTTATTAGAAGGGGTGTGCACAGGCCTCAGAAGTCAGTGTGTAGAGAGAGGGAGGAAGATGGCTCATCCAGCTTTTAAAATGGGCCTAGAGCCGGGCAGTGGTGGCACACGCCTTTAATCCCAGCACTCGGGAGGCAGAGACAGGCGGATCTCTGTGAGTTCGAGGCCATTCTGGTCTACAAGAGCTAGTTCCAGGACAGGAACAAAAAAGCTATGGAGAAACGCTGTCTCGAAACCCTCCCTCCCCCCCCCAAAAAAGCTGCCTAGTGTATGCACACAGGAGTTTGATATGGATACTACATATGCAAAAGAAAACTAAAGAAGATCATGGGAATCCAAACTGGAAAGGAAAACGTTGAGCTTTTGCTATTCACAGATGATATGATAGTATACATAAGTGATGCCAGAAACTCTATCAGGGAATTCCTACAACCCATAAATAACTTAAGTAAGGTGACAGGAAACAAGATGAGCTCAAAAAATGAGTAGCCCTCCTATATACAAATAATATAGAAGAGCCGGGCGATGGTGGCACACGCCCTTAATCCCAGCACTCAGTAGGCAGAGGCAGCTGGATCTCTGTGAGTTCGAGACCAGCCTGGTCTACAGAGCTAGTTCCAGGACAGGCTCCAAAGCCACAGAGAAAGCATGTCTCAAAAAAAAACCCCAAAAACAAAAACAACAACAACAACAACAAACAAATAATAAAGATGCTGAGAAAGAAATCAGAGGAGCATCACCATTTACAATAGCCACAAATAATTTAAAACATTTCAACATGATTCTTCACAGACCTTGAAAGCACACTACTCAAATTCAAATCAGAAAACAAAACAGTGTAAAATAAAACACCAAAGATAACCAAAATATCCTGTACAGTAATGGAACTTCTGGAAGTATCACCATTCTTAACATAAACCTGGATTATAGAGCTACAGTAATGAAAACAGATTGTATTGGCATAGAAGTAGACAGGTTGACCAATGGAATCAAAACAAAGGTTCAGATATGAATCCACAGACCTATGAACACCTGATTTTTTTTAAAGATTTATTTATTTATTAAGTATACAGGCCAGAAGAGGGCACCAGATCTCATTACAGGTGGTTGTGAGCCACCATGTGGTTGCTGGGGATTGAACTCAGGACCTTTGGAAGAACAGGCAGTGCTCTTAACCACTGAGCCATCTCTCCAGCCCTGAACACTTAATTTTTGACAAAGAAGCTAAAACTATACAATGGAAAAATGAAAGCATCTTCAACAAATGGTGCTGGAATAAGTGGATATCAAAATGAAAAAGAATGCAAGTAGATCCATATCTCTCCCCATGCACAAACTCAAGTCCAAATGGATTAAATAACTCAATACGGATCTGGCCACGGTGAATACAGTAGAGGAGAAAGTGGGAAGTTATCCCAGCCTGCGGGATACGAACGGGGGTCCCTGATAAACCTAGTGGAGAGGAATGAAAGGAGACAAGAGACATGAGAAATGACAGCAAGACAGGATTTTTTGATCAAGCCATTCTGTTTATTCTTTCTCAGATGCTATTATATAGCAAACAGGCAAAGGGGGAAGGGAAGGGTGTCAGGAAACTCAGGTTTGCTGGAATTCATGTCTGGAGACATCCCTAGCTGATAAGTATATACTGAGGGTCTGTGATTGTTGACTAACCAAGGAAAATGCTAATAGGTTCCAGAGCCTGGTGCCTGCAGGTCTCTGCTAGGAGATAAGATACCAGGTTGATTTCCTGGACCCTGCAGAGGGGATAGAGGTAGATATTTTTCTTAATTTGTGAGCTTAAGATGGCTGTAACAAAAACGCAGATCTCAAATTACAGGCCTTTGCTTCTGGCAAGAAGTAGCCTTCAGAGCATGGGCATAGGAAACTACTGTCTAAATATAGCATCAATTGCACAGACACTGAGAGTACCAATAAACAAACGGGACCTTCTGAAACTGAGAAAATTCTGTAATGCAAAGGACACAGTCAATAAGATAAAAAGGCATCACAATGAATGGGTAAAGATCTTCCCAACCCCAGAGCAGACAAAAGACTGATCTCCAAAATATATAAACTACTCAAGATATTAGACATCAAATTCCAAATATTCCAAATAAAAGTAGGATACAAATCTAAATAGAGAAATTTCAACAGCAGAATCTCAAGAGTCTAAGAGACACTTAAGGAAATGTTCCACATCCTTAGTAATCATGAAAATGTAAATCAAAATGACTCTGAGATAGCATCTTAGAATAGTAAGAATGGCTAAGATTTAAAGCACCAGTGATAACTTATGTTCCTACATGACTTTGAGGTAAGAATGCCCCCAAAATATCTCTGTTTTTACAATGTGATCATGTTCAGAAGTGGATTTGTTAAGTGAGCATGCTTAAAGAAAGAGAGAACATTACATGAGCATGTTCAGACTCCCTAAGTAAAATCCCCATGCTTCCTTTGTTGAGGAAAAACACTGTTTTTTTTTTTTTCGAGACAGGGTTTCTCTGTGGCTTTGGAGCCTGTCCTGGAACACGCTCTGTAGACCAGGCTGGTCTCGAACTCACAGAGATCCGCCTGCCTCTGTCTCCCGAGTGCTGGGATTAAAGGCGTGCGCCACCACTGCCCGGCGAAAAACAGTGTTTTGAAAATAACTCCCATGCACTTTGTGCCTCCTGCAGGCAAGTATATTTTCTCATTTCTTCTCTCTTGGCTGTTGAGATCGTGATTTTGGGTAGTAAAACTGACTACCTCTGGGATTACCTAAAAATTGATTATGCCTGAGAGAGATTTTACTTAACGGTTTTTAAATGGGAAAACCTCCATTAATCTGTATAATTTGAGATGATAGGACCACCTTTAGCTGCTTGGTGGCAGTGCTCACTTTCAACACCATGACAATCATCTTCTTTCGTGACCTTAAAATTCTCTTCAGCTCTTAATATTTTTCCCTCTGGGACAGGAAATCACTCCACCAACCTAGATAAGCACAGTGCATAGTACAAGCCAGCTAGCCACATTGTGTCCTGGAGGAAAAAGGGAAAGTTCCTATGGAGTACATGATTGTGACATTGTCAGCCAGGCGATGGTGGCGCACGCCTTTAATCCCAGTACTCGGGAAGCAGAGGCAGGTGGATCTCTGTGAGTTTGAGACCAGCCTGGTCTACAAGAGCTAGTTCCAGGACAGGCTCCAAAGCCACCGAGAAACCCTGTCTGGAAAAAACAAAAAACAAAAAAAACAAAAAAAAAAAAAGATTGTGACATTGTCTGCTTTTGTAGCCAAGGGCTAGTGCTATTGAAATGCTTACCTTGGCCTATCTAGAAAAGATCTTTGAATGGGGTGAGAGGAATGGTCAGGAACCACTGTACTGAGTATTTAAGCACACTGTAGCCCTGTGGACAGTGTGCTTGTCATTCAGACTGCACTAGCCAATCAGGCCGTCCAGGTGACCTGCCAGTCAGCAACAGTGCAGGGCTCTTCCGGGAAGCCAAGTTCCAAGTCGGCTTCGCAGAGACGCTGTTTTCAGTGGTTTCGTGTGCTGGAAATTGATGAGCTGAGAGCTTTGGCGACCTGAGGAACCACAACATGGTGAGCGAGGGAATGCTGTCTCCAGATGGGGAGGAGCAGAGGGTGAGGTGCGGGAGACAGCATGGTGCGTCCTCCTGGGATCTGTGTGGGAACCTGCCGCCAGATTCTCTGTGCTGTGAAGTCCCATGTGGTCTTTGTTAATTCTTAGACCTAGGAACAGGCCTCTGTATAACTTTGCTCCTTGGGCTTGATTTGTTTAGAGAATTGGAAGCTGGGCACTGTGTGTACAAATGTTTTTTCTTGTCAACTTCAATATGTCATACTTAGAGAAGCCTAGTTTCTCCAGTATCTTCTTGAAATTGAGCACTTTGCCTTTAACCTTCGCACACAATCTCCATTTGTGTTTAACTATGTGGACGGTATCAAGGCATCTCACCTGTTGGGTAGCGCTGCACTTCTAAGCCGCAACGTAGAAGAGTTTCCAATGCCTTGGAAATAGTTCAGTCTCACAAAGTAGAATTAGCTGAGGGAGGACTGCCTCTAAATCACCCAGAAAATAAATGTGTTTTAATCAGGGCTGTTAGAGATTAGGATGCTAGGGCACACTTTGTTCAACTGGATTGTCCAGATATTTAGCTCCAAACTACTACAGAGAAGCCACCACGCCACCACTGATTTAAAACCAGACACCAGGCACATCCCCATATGAAAAAAAAAAAAAAAAAAAAAAAAAAACCTCTAACAAGCTTTTCAAGGAGGCTCTACAGGTTCCTAACCTACTTTAAGGCCTGATGTCGCTTAACCTTCCAGTTTTCTATTTGAGGAAAACACAGTTTTTCCACATTTGCAATATGCCACCAGGTGACATATACCTATTATCCAGTCAGAAAGTTTTATCATAATTTAGTGTTTTGGTTGTATCTCCACTAACAAAATATTTAACCCCTAAAGCAGTAGTCATTTATAGCAACTCTGGTACCAACATCAAAGGGGAAAACTGGTTTAAAAAATGGTGCAAAAGCTATTCTGGACTATAGAACAACATATCACAGAAGAGAATGAATACAAGTTTTGTGATTTTATATATATGTACTCCAAGAAGTTTATCAGTACTCAAATTATTTTTATTGCTGGATTAGCAATGAATTTTTGGGGATATATTCTCACTGGTCATATAAAATAGATTCGGGGAATATATTAAATTGGATTTCTAGATTAAATGTTTCATTTAAAGAATTATCTACAACAAATTTCATGTTTATGTATGAAAAGTTATCTAACCTTATATGAAAATGTCATGAAGTATTTTTCTACACTATACTAAATGTATTTCCCAAGAGGGAAAAATTAAAATATCTAAAATATACTAGATTAAGATTACAAGACCATTATAGATCTTATAAACATGCATCTGTTTACAGAATTAACCCTATACAAAATGTATTTTTCATTAGAGATCACAAAGAAATGAGTTGGGGACAATCATCCTTACACCACATTATCAACTCACTTTAACCACAAGTGTGTCCTTGGTATGTGAGTAGAAGAAATAGGTTCATTTACTCCTCATCAAATCTTCCACAGATTTACATAAAAGGTGAAAGTGCAGAAATGTGAAATATGTTACATGTATTTTCTTTCTTTCTTTCAAACCACATAGGAGCCTGAAATTACAAAATACTTAACTGGGCTTTAGTTATCTATACAGACTGCATGAATGTGAATTAAGTTCCCAAATTAGCACATCAAATAACAAAACCAGCCACAAAGCAGGCAGAAACATTAAACATTTTATATATGAGTTTTAAATCATTTAATTTCTATAGAACAATTTTATTCACAATATAATATGACAGAAATCACCACAGGATTGATAGACTGATTGCAATAGTATTGTATGCAGCAGCAGCAGCTTTGCATTTTTATAACTATTATTTGTTTATAAAAATTAGGCCTCTCCAGTCATGCTTCCCACATTTTTAGGTTTGCAGTGTAAGTTAACAGGGAATACACATAGTTCAAAGAGAAAATGTCTCATCATTTTGAATGTGGATTATCTCTATGAAAAATGAAATATACTACTAAACCCTGAAACATGCATGTCTAGATTTGCTTTTGTCCAATTTCAGGCCGTTTGCAGTCACATTCTATTTATATAATAGCAAGAGGATCTGTCACAATTGTGGTTGAATGAGCTGCGGTTGTAATGGTGGTGGCAACTGAAGTGGTACCATTGACTCCACCAATTGTCCTGGATTTGTGAGTGGGGCAGGAGCCACAGTGTTCATAGTTTCTACAATTTCTCCATTGGAAAAGAAAAACTGACACTGTTTCAAGGACAGGTTGATGGATTATAGTGGTAGACAGGAACTCCCGATTTTCAAAATCAGGTCTCATCAAAGTTGGCCAAAAGCAGATGGATAAGTTGTCTGCTGTCATTAGGTTTGATTTTATTTTGCTGACTAACCCTGTCCAAATGTGTTTAACCTTTTCAATTTTGTGGAGAACAGCTTTTTTTTTTTTTGTAGTATATGTTTATTTCTTCCTTGACCCAGGGGTAGTTTAATAGAGCACTATTCAATTTCCACTATTCAATTTTGTGATTAGTGTTGTTGTTAAATTATAACATTAAAACATAGTGATCTGATAAAACCCAGGGGGTTATTCCAATTTTGTGTGTGTGTGTGTGTGTGTCAAGGGTTGCCTTGTTACCATGATCGTGGTCCATTTTAGAGAAGATACTACGAGGTGCTGAGAAGAAATTATATTTTGCGCTTGGGTGGAATATTCTGTAGATGTCTGTTGAGTCCATTTAGGTCAAGAAATCTGTTAGTTGTCTCATTTTTCTGTTATGTTTCTGTTTAATTGACCTGTTCATTGGGGAGAGTAGGGTGTTGAAGTCTCCTACTAGTAAGATGTGGGATTTGATGTGCATTTTAAGCTTTAGGAATGTTTCTTTTACATGTGTGGGTGTTCTTATATTCGGGGCATAGATGTTCAGGATTGAGACTTTATCTTAATGCATGGTTCCTGTTATGAATATGAAGTGTCCATCTTTCTGATTGACTTTACTTTGCAGTCTGTTTTGTTCACTATTATGATACCTATACTTGTGTGTTGCTTAGGTCCATATGATTTGAAAAACTTTTCCCAACACTTTACTCTTAGGCAATGTTTGTCTTTGAGGGTTAGGTTTGTTTTCTTTATATAGCAAAGTGATGGATCTTGCTTTCGGATCCATTCTCTAAGATTGTGCCTTTAAAAAATATTTATTTATTTATTATGTATACAATATTCTGTCTGTGTGTATGCCTGCAGGCCAGAAGAGGGCACCAGACCTCATTACAGATGGTTGTGAGCCACCCTGTGGTTGCTGGGAATTGAACTCAGGACCTTTGGAAGAGCAGGCAATGCTCTTAACCTCTGAGCCAACTCTCCAGCCCAGCTTGTGCCTTTTTATAGTCAAATTGGGTCTATTGATAGTAAGAGATATAAATGACCAGTGATTGCTAGTTCCAGCTATGTTTCAGTAGTAGTGTTTGTATGTTTGCCTTCTTTGGTGTTTGCAGATGTAAGGTTATCTGTTGCCTGTGTTTACAGTTAGCTTCCTTGGTAAGTCCCTCTAGTACTTTCTGTATGACTGGACTTGTTAGGATAAGTATTGTTTAAATCTGGTTTTGTCATGGAATACATTGTTTTCTCCATTGATGGTGGCTGAAAGCTTTGCTGGGTATAGTAGTCTGGTTGGAAGCTTTGGTGGGTAGAGTAGTGTCCATGGTCTCTTAGTGTCTTCAGCACATCTGTCCAGGGCCTTCATGCTTTCAAAGTTTCCATGAAGAATTTGGGTGTTATTCTGATATGTCTGCTTTATATTGTACTTGGCCATTATCCTTTGCAGCTCTTAATAGTCTTTCTTCATTTTCTGTTTTGCATTTTGATCATTATATGTTGGGGGTACTTTTTTTGTCCAGTCTATCTGGTATTCCCTAAACTTCTTATACCGTCATAGGTGTATCCTTTTTTGGGTTGGAAACATTTCCTTCTATGATTTTTTTTTTGTTGTTACATATATTTTCTGTGCTTTGGAGTTAGTGTTCTTATCTTTCTTCTATTCCTATTATTCTTAGGTTTGGATTTTTCATGGTGTCCCAGAAATAATGTTTTGTGTAAGGAATTTTTGGATTTATTGTTTTCTTTGACCAATGATTCGATTTCTTCTATAGAATCTTCAGCACCTGAGATTCTCTCTTCTATCTCTTGTATTCTGTTGGTTACACTTCTCGCTGTGGATCCCATTTGTTTACCCAGATTTTCCATATACAACATTCCCTTTGTCTGTGGTTTCTTTATTGCTTCTATTTCAGTCTTCAAGTCTAGATTTGCTTGTTTCAATCAAATATTGATTTTTTTTTCTTGGTTTCTTGGGTTTCTTTGAGAAATTTATTTATTTATTTATTTATTTATTTATTATGGACACACTATTCTGTTTGCATATATGTCTGTAGGACAGAAGAGGACACCAGCCCTCATTACAGATGGTTGTGAGCCACCATGTGGTTGCTGGGAATCGAACTCGGGTCCTTTGGAAGAGCAGGCAATGCTCTTAACCTCTGAGCCATCTCTCCAGCCCCTTTGAGAAATTTATTGATGTCTTCCATTCTTTTGCTTATGTTTTCCTCAATTTCTTTAAGGGGATTTTCATTTCCTCATCATCCTCACAAAGTTACACTAGAAATCATTTTCTTTCTTTTTTTTTTTTTTTTTTGGTTTTTTTGAGACAGGGTTTTACTGTGGTTTTGGAGCCTGTCCTGGAACTAGCTCTTGTAGACCAGGCTGGTCTCGAACTCACAGAGATCCGCCTGCCTCTGCCTGGGATTAAAGGCGAGCGCCACCACCCAGTTTGTTTTTGAGACCTGTTCTTGGCCTACTCTGTGTTTCAGAAAGCCACACCTCTGAGGTGTGTCTTTGCCCTCTGTCTTGGCCTGCTCTTTTGGTCTGCTCTCCTGGGTCACTCTCTTGGTCCAGTCTGTGCATTTAATTTAATGAACATTTCCCAGAAAAGATCATGTTTCTCTCCTTGCTGGCCTTTCAATTTCCTATAAACCTTCAGTAAAAAAGGCTTTTCAAGATGAAATTCCTCATTGTATGTGATGAGTCTCAATATCCTTAACTAATTTTCTGACTTTTATGTCTACTGTGTTGTAGTTGGAATTAATCAGCCAACTTCCCACTTACACTGAAATGCTTTTATCATCATTATAGGCTTGATCTGTAAATCACAGAAAATAAAGAAGAAACAGTTGCTGTTCAGGGCTAAGGAGTTTTGTAGCCTGTAGTTTTAATTGTTTTGTTTGCTTGTCTGAGTAACCTTTGATGTGTGGCTCCAAATTCCTCAAAGTAAAATGAGGGGGGCTTCATTCATGGCTTTGTTTTTATGTTGTTGGATGATGACCCTGAATGTAGGCTTTTTAAATGTCAAGCATATGCTGCTGTGCTCAGCTTCTTACATATCTTAAATTTTATATTTGACAGAGGGTTTCATTCTGATCCCCAGGATGCCATGTATTCATGACATTAATACTGCCTGAGCATCCTGAGTCAGTGAATTGCCGGTGCATGAACTTCTTCCTGCTTGATTAGCTTGCTTTTAATTTTTCACTCAATTTGACTATTTTATGGGTCTGCATGGATATGTACCATATGGGTACTTGGTCATCAGAGTGATCAAAGCTTCTCAGAAATCCTGAACTTAGAATAATAAATAATTGTGGTCCCCATGTAAGTACTGACAATTGTGCCCACCTCTTTCAAGACCAGGAAGAGCTCAGTAGTACTCAGCCATATTTCCAGAACTATGTTAATTTGTTATGCCCAACATTTATATTGCTAATGTTTTCATCTCTCCATTTATAATTATTTTAAACATAAAGTACCTTTTCATAAAATGTTTGTGGTATTGCAGTTTAAAATAGGACACTTCAGCTGTCTGGAAGATGAACACAGAACTGGAGTGAATGTATAATTCTTTGTAGGAACTTCAGTACACAGCTCTAAATTCTTTCTGTGTGATTTGTTTATTTCACTGATTTTTTAAGGTTTATTTAATTATTATATATATACAATGTTCTGCCTATATGTCTGCCTGCAGGCCAGAAGAGGGCACCAGATCTCATTGCAGATGGTTGTGAGCCACCATATGGTTGCTGGGAACTGAACCCAGGACCTCTGCAAGAAGGATCAGTGCTCCAAACTGCCAAGCCATCTTTACAGCCCTGTTTCACTGATTTTTGCAATGGAGACAGGGTCTTAATGTGTACTTCCACCTGTCCTGGACATGATTTCATAGACTTGGCTGGCACTCATCTCAGAGACAAATCTACACACCTCTGCTTTATGAGTGTTTTGCTTAAAGGCATGAGTCAACATACCCAGTTTGTCCACCGTATTTTTTTCTATTTTGTAATTAGTATTTCTTCATACAATTTTCTTCATACAATTTTTCTGCGTGATTCCTGTTGATCCGTTTCCTTGACTATCTTTATTAATAGACAGTTCTTTTGTTGGTGATATCCCATTCAAAGGGTACAAAAATAACAGACATGACTCTTCTATTCAATTTCCTTCTAAAGTGTCTGCTTCGGAGCTGGAGAGATGGCTCAGAGGTTAAGAGCATTGCCTGTTCTTCCAAATGGTACTGAGTTCAATTCCCAGCAACAACATGGTGGATCACAACCATCTGTAATGAGGTCTGGTGCCCTCTTCTGGCCTGCAGGCATACACATAGACAGAATGTTGTATACATAATAAGTAAATAAATATTTTTTTTAAAAAAAGTGTCTGTCTCTGTCATGGAATAATAGTGGGGAACATCAGAATTTTATGACTATAGTGTTAAAGAAGTATGCATTTACAATGTTGTCACCATCATGCTTCTCTTATACACATGAATGTAATATTTTAGAGGGCAGTGACCTATGATGATGTGCATATCAGCTTCAGTCAGGAAGAGTGGAATTTGCTGGATCCTGCCCAGAAGAATCTCTACAAAGATGTGATGCTGGAGACCTACAGGAACCTCGCTACTATAGGTGAAACTAAATTTCCTTCATGATTCAAAATAAGGGGATAATTTTTTCTTGGTTAATGATGTTCTTCTGTAATTTTATTTAGAAAGAATAAGAATTAGTTGAATAGAGCAGACATAGTTCTAAGGGTCCCTTCATATAACAGCTTAAATACTGCACAATTTTCAATAATATAACATACATTTACTGGCATTATATTTTAGGATGTAATTGGGAAGACCCTAACAGTGAAGAGCATTGTCAATTTTCTAGAAGACCTGAAAGGTAATTTTCATATACAAGCAGATAACAATGTGCCTCTGATGAAATTTTTATGTGTCTTAAAAGTTTTAGTTTAAAGCAATACTGATAACATGTACAGTTTTATCAAATTCTCACAAATCCCTATTTCATATATGTGAATTGCATTTGAATGACATTCTTTTAAGAAAGAAGTCAAGAAAACAATAGCTAAAAAGATAACATCTTTTGAGGCATAGCACCATGAGAGCTTTGTTGTAGATCTGCAAATAAATTTCTTTCTTGCTACTCATAATACAAAAGTATACACATTGAAGAGATTATAAGTATATCTGTAAAACTTTGTACTAAGCCAATAGCCCATAGTAAATCTTTTATTACTTGTAATTTCTTGTGACTGTACTAACTTTAGTGAGAGAAGCAGTTAGAGCTGAGTCAAGTGGCAGTTGTTTTCGAGTAACCTTGATATCTATACCACAAGATTGTGAGGAACAGCAGGTCAAACCCTGAGAATTCAATGTGGAAATCTCTTATTTGTAATTCTTCTTTACTATGGATACCATACATTGCTCTTGATACAAGTGTATTAGCACAGGGATATGGAGAGATGTAGGATACTACTCTCTAAGAACAATTAGATAACTGGTAGTCCCCATGTTGAGTATACTTGTTGAATTTTAATTAAGTATACAAGTAACTGGTTTTCCACCCTCATTGTTAATACATGAACAAATTCAAACTGCAAAAAAGCCCTATAAGTTCTAGAAATGTGCAAATAATTCTGAGTGTTCTAGTCCACATAGCATATGCAATATGATTCACAGTATAGGAGAAGTTATGAAAATAAAAGCTCTGGGTTTATCCAGTTCTCTTCATATATATATATATATATATATATATATATATTATCATATAGAAAAAAGATTCTGGATTCTGTGAAGGTATAAAGGTAAGCCATAAAAGAAAGGAATTGACCATTGGAGGTATCTTCCAAGTGGCAAAACAGTGCCTAATTAAAGAGCAAAACATGAGTTTAGACACAGTTATAAAAACTTAGTATCTGAATCCTCTTTATAATTGGAACATATTATAAAATTAATTCATACAAATGTGTAGCCACAACAGCGTATTGAATATGGTGAAGTTTTTATATGTGCCAATTATCTTTGCAGGATTGAAAGAATTCAAGCTGGAGAAAAACTTTCAGTAGATATTCAATGTTCTGAAGCCTTCACACATGCCAGTCACCTTAAATGGAATGAAAGAACACATACTGGAGAGAAATCCCATGAATGTAATCAGTGTGGGAATGCCTTTGCAGCTCAGAGTCATCTTCAAAACCATAAAAGAACACACACTGGAGAGAAACCCTATGAATGTAATCAGTGTGGTAAGGCCTTTGCAGTTCAGAGTTATGTTCAAATCCATAAAAGAACACATACTGGAGAGAAACCCTATCAATGTAATCAGTGTGGTAAGGCCTTTGCATGGTACACTGGTCTTCAATACCATGGAAGAACACACACTGGAGAGAAACCATATGAATGTAATCAGTGTGGTAAGGCCTTTGCAGGTCAGAGTAATGTTCAAATCCATAAAAGAACACATACTGGAGAGAAACCCTATCAATGTAATCAGTGTGGTAAGGCCTTTGCATGGCACACTGCTCTTCAATACCATGAAAGAACACATACTGGAGAGAAACCCTATGAATGTAATCAGTGTGGTAAGGCCTTTGCTCAACACAGTAATCTTCAAACACATAAAAGATCACATACTGGAGAGAAACCATATGATTGTAATTATTGTGGTAAGACATTTGTAGATCAGAGTAATCTTCAAAACCATAAAAGAACACATACTGGAGAGAAACCCTATGAATGTAATCAGTGTGGTAAGACCTTTGCTCGGTATAATACTCTTAAATCCCATGGAAGAACACATACTGGAGATAAACCCTGTAAATGTAGTCAGTGTGGTAAGGCCTTTGCCCAACACAGTAGTCTTCAAAAACATAAAAGAACACATTCTGGAGAGAAACCATATGAATGTAATCAGTGTGGTAAGGCATTTTCAGCTTTAAGTAATCTTAAAAGGCATAAAAGATCTCACCCTAGGTAGGAACTCTTTGAATGTAATCAGTGGGGTAAGAGCTTTGCACAGCACAGTGATCTTCAAAAACATAAACAAATCTACAAAAGAGAGAAACTCCATGGATGTATTCAGTGTAGTAATGCCTTTGCAGTAATCTTCAAAGGCTTAAAAGTAAAAGAAATAGTATTAATGAAATCACTGTGATAAAGCCCTTTCATGTCTTATTCATCTTCAAATGCAGGAATGTACACATACAGAAGAATAACCATGAATTGGATCTGTGTGGTAAATGCTTTGTCACAATAATCTCCAAATACATTAAACCATTCAGGATAGAAACTGTGAATTTGATGAATGTAGACTTCAAAAACATTACAAAAATCATACTCCAGTGAAACTCTATGAATAAATTCAATGTGATATTTTGTAATTTATACAGGAGTAAAACTTTTTGTGTGTAATCAATCTGATAAAGCTTTTGCAAATTACAATATCCTTTGGATACCTGAAGAACAACCCGAGGGCTTATTCTAAATTGTTTTTCAAGATCCTAAGCCTATACATTTACAGTCAGATAACTAACAGCATTCATTCTGTAGAAAAAAAGCTGATAGTGTCAATAATCTGTTCAATATGATAACACTTTAGTTTATTTGCACCAGCAAACTAATGGAAAAAACATATTATTTGGAGTTATGAAGTCCTACAGGCAGGAAAATCAGCCAGTCAAAGAATCACACCCTGTAATTGAAATGAGATCCAAGAGAAAACACTTTGTCCCTGAATCTAGAGCTAGTTATAAGAACATCACCCTAAAACAGAGCCAAAAAGTTAAAAAGAGCCAGTGAAGGAAACACACTTTGGCTCTCAAACCAGAGCCAAAGAAACACACTCTTCCCTTGTTCAAATGAGCACCAAAGCAACCAATCTCTGAGCACAAAATCCAGCCCAACTCTCTGGTTGTTCAAGCAGAGGGATTGAAATCTGACCAGTTCCCACCTTCAAAATCTCCTTAGAAGAGATCTGGTTTTAAGAAACCCTATATGAAGCCGGGCGATGGTCGCGCACGCCTTTAATCCCAGCACTTGGGAGGCAGAGGCAGGCGGATCTCTGTGAGTTCGATGCCAGGTTGGTCTAGAAGAGCTAGTTCCAGGACAGGAACCAAAAAAAAAAAAAAGCTACAGACAAACCCTGTCTCGAAAAAATATAAAAAAATATTTTAATTGTTTTTATGTGGGGTGTGTGTGTGTGTGTGTGTGTGTGTGAGAGAGAGAGAGAGAGAGAGAGAGAGAGAGAGAGAGAGAGAGAGAGAATGAGAGAGAGAATTTTTGGATTGATATTTTGTATCTTTAGAAAATTAAGACTTTGGGCCGGGTGGTGGTGGCGCACGCCTTTAATCCCAGCACTTGGGAGGCAGAGGCAGGCGAATCTCTGTGAGTTCAAGACCAGCCTGGTCTACAAGAGCTAGTTCCAGGATAGGCTCCAAAACCACAGAGAAACCCTGTCTCGAAAAAAAAAATTAAGACTTTGGGTCTTCTTATACCAGGAATTACAGCAAACTTTTAAAAATCTGATCTTAGTCTTGGGAATGAATATTTCTTAGTCACCTCACCATGACTTAGTGCTATAAATGTTTAAATTCTATTTAGAACACTTTTAAGTCTGCAATAGGAAAGAAGTCATGAAGAAATTCCTATTCATGAAAAAATTTTAATGACATTAAACATCACCGATTTCTTCAGCTTCATGAAAAAATATTTTTTATCATAGCATTGAAAGAAGTAAATTACATACCACGTTCAGTCAAGACAGATGGAGGAGATCATTGTATTGTGGTTTCTATTTTAAAGTATTTGAGGGAGTCACTAACGTGTGCTGTATATGTGGCAAATCCATTAGTGAAGTTTATTTTGTAGACCTTATATTACTTCTATGACTTTAGTTTATCTTCTATTCTGTCTGTACCTAGTGATAGGTATTTTTCTACTGTAATGTATATAATGGAGCCTCCATCATATAATTTTTCCCATTGGTTATTTAAATACCAGGCCATGTTTGATCATGATTTACTCATAAGGGTGGTGGTTTGTGTTTCTGGTTTTGATTTTCATCTTTTCACAAATTCCCTTGAGATTTTGTTATTTGTTGTTCATCTTACCTTGGATGTCAGTAATGACTCAGGGATACATTTGAACTCAGGATGCTCATTTGTCTTCTGCTTGAGTACTAGTCCAGAGGTAGATGATGAACTTCCAATGTGCTGGGTTTTCAAGAGAATTTAACAATGTATATGTTAAAATGACTAACAAAAGAAATTATAAGAAACATTAAATAATTCATGTGTGTATTAAAAGATTTTCATTTATCTGATATGGATGTACTAATGTATGAGAATCAGCAAACAACTGTGTATCTAATACCACAGCTTGATGTTCTATAGAAATTGAGGATAGGTTTCTAGTCTTACACACAACAGTCCTTTCCCCCTGAGCCATTTCAGTGGTGCTCAATTTCAATTTGAGGAAATATTACAACAAGCAAATTTGTTCGTTTTGAGGACTATGCATTTATTTATAACACTCTTAGAACCAAAATTATACACCAGAAAATTGCCACATTTAGTAAAGTTCATTGCTGCTATGTCTGACCTGGGTTCTATCTCTGCGTTATGCACCATACTTCAACAAATTTTCTCATATTTCTTCACTTCACAAGAAGTGCCATTGAGGTCATGTGCAGTCAAATAACTCCAAAGGTTTAATCACGAGAACTCACAAAGCAGAAGTAGATCATAGACCCCTGTTGGTTTTCCTGTCAGTGCTACATACACATCATGGCACGGGTGTATTCACACAGTCACACTTCAAACATTTATAAATGGGTGTAATTAACAATGCAAAGAAAATAACCTGTTATTGAGAACATATGAAATGATTTGGTCATTTAAATTATAGAATTTTGCGAAAAGTTACTATCCATCAAAACAATGATGCTCCTTTTTAAATCTTATTTTATTATTTTTTTCTCTGACTCAATGATAAGTCCTTTAGAAACACATATTTCAACTGGACTTACAGGTGTATGGCTATAATTATAGCACACCAGAGTGTTGGTGGGCCTGATCATAGTGAGGCCAGCTTCTTCCCCATCATAAATTCATGCCATCCATGGCTATGAGGAAGTATCCTGTCTCAAAAATTCTAAAAGAAAGAGCCTATCTCAAATAATATAACCTTTTGCTAATAAAATCTGGCTGGACTCAGACTGATTTCAACCAACTTTTTAGTATCTTTACTCACATAAAAAAAAACTGATAACAATAACATAAGCATTATAGATATTCCATTCACATTCAATCCATTTTATCTTTTGACAACCATCTAGAGGGCATTTATGTGCTAAGACACAGAAGGAACAGTGGGACACCTTCACCTTCCACATTATAATGACATATGTGGTAACTGGACAGTTGTCTCAAAGTACTGCTCCTCTTGGGTACCCGAGTTTGGTTTATAGCCCCACAACCCAGGTACCAGTGGTGATAAAAAGGTGGTGTCTAATGCTCTGTCTGGAGTTACAGACAGCTGTGGGTACGTAGTATCAATGTTAGGCCCTGTGGATGAGTATCCAGTGTTCTAAATGCTGAGTCTTCAGCCTCATGAGCATGTCATTAATAATAGTGAGGTGGGAAAGGCTGATATAATAAGTTTATCTTTTCATCACCCTTCATGACCCAGAAGAACTAAAGATTGATAGTCCCAGAATCTAACTTAGACTTGGTTCTTTTAGAATTTTTGATCATTATGCATGATCAAAAAGATAGTTTTGCTCTGTAAATCTCCATCTGCCTAAGTGGTTAGATGTGCCTTTTTCTTTGTTGTTGTTGTTAGTTTTCTGTTTTGTTCTGTTTTTCAAGACAGGATTTCTCTGTAGCTTTAGATCCTGTCCTGATCTAGCTCTTATAGACCAGGCTGGCCTTGAAGTCACAGAGATCCACCTGCCTCTGCTTCCAAAGTGCTGGGAGTAAAGGCATGTGCAACCACTGCCTAGGTCCTCTTGTTCCTTTTTAAATTGTTCAGAGTATAACCTTGGGTCTGAACACAAAAGAGACTTAAAAATGACATTTTATATGGTATGCAAAATTTTTTTTCCAGGCTGGCTCCTCTTTTAAAAATTAACCACCCCAGGTGCATGCAGTTTTTAAAGAGATTTTTTTTATTAAACTTAATTTTGTGGAATAATTTATCCAGAGGAAGGTGCATTAATTTTAGAACATAAGTATCTCCAGTTTGTAGAATAATGTTTCTGAATCAAAAGTTCTTATTTTGGATCAAGTTCCCTTGATCCCACTCCATTGTTCCCCAGGGGAATGACCTTGTTCTCATGATTAAACCAACTAAATTTTTAGATTAAACAAATCATTCACCACTTAGTCATACAATTAAAAATTTGAGTCATATGGTCAACTTTCCATTTCAGTAATAGAAAAAGGATTTGTGTGTGGAGCATGATTTTTGCCTTCATAC